TTTGAGTTGAAAGGGTGCGTTTCGATGAAGTTGTTCAGTGTATGTCTAATTTTTGGCGGATGAACTAGAAAAGCTGTAAAAATCCAGATTACACTAGTTCCAAGTAAATCAGACATATGAGGGGATGCTGAAAAGTTCTCGATTCGTCCAAGAATATATTCGAAAGAAAATCCTGATGTTTGGTCATTTGGTCAGAATTTGGTGAAGTGGTTTAATTCTAGACATTTACAGTATTTTCTTATAGTATTTTAATATCTACACTGTGTAAGACGCGTATGAATTTTGTCGAATATTATTAGATAACCAGCAAAATGTCACATTTTAAAATTTTAAATATGCCTATTCTTATTCATGAAGAATAAATATTTTCAGTTTTGTTACAATTTGAAGAACTGTATCTCGACTTGATGCTTCCTAGAAAACTACAATCTTAATCACTTCAAGTCTAGGGTCAATCGATATCTATCCTACATATCCTCATAATATGGGCCTCTTCTCCCCTGCCCCGTCATTACAGCAATCTCATCCAGTAACCCTCTACCTTGAGTGGCTCTTAGTCCGTATATTGGGTGAACAGTAATGCTTATTAATATTGTCTGTTCGCTATGCAAAATGTCAAGGAGCTAATATCGATCAAAAACTTAACCCTTGTAAAATGGTTTCTTTTTATTAAACCATTCTAAGTTCAATTCTACTTTAGTGCCAATAAGATAAGCTTCTTTTGAAATAAAAGATTCTGGTTCGGACTTCAAAGGATTCGGTCAATAAAATCCGTATAGGTTTCGCTAGTCTGAAAAGAAACTTCTTTCTTAGATTTATGGACCAATGAGAACGACTCCCAAAAAGCAGCTTATCTCATCCATCTCAGATTTGTATAAGGAACGCTGTCCGCCAGTATATTCAAAGGTGTGTCCTTTTGTCTGTTCGTGCTGTGGACACACACACACACACACACACACACACACACACACATACATACATATATACATACATACATAGATACATATATACATACATACATAGATACATAAATACACACACAAATATGTCTATATTTCTGAGATGAGGTATTATGTATATTATTTACATTATTCGGACTATTGTCCTCCTTATCACAACGTTTCGGCCGTTGTACGCTCCCGCCTTCTTCAGGTGGTTGGTATGTCGAACTGAACCCTTTATTTCGCTCACTGTCTTCAAGGACACATGGCACAGTGGATAAAGGCGTTGGTTAGATCCAGTGACAGACCCAAAGAAGGTGAGTTCAATACCCGGTTAAGGCAGTGGAGAACTTTCAGGGGGAATTTAACAGAAGATAACTGACATCCATTAAACATGTCACGTGGAACTAGAACAGTCTATCCCAGTGAGCGAAATAAAGGGCTCAGTTCCACATTCCAACCACCTGAAGATGGCCGGAGCGTACAACGGCCGAAACGTTGTGATAAATATGGCGACAAAGATGAGGTCAATAGTCCGAATAATGTAAATGATATACACACAAATATATATTTTTAAATAATAAAATTTTTAAAATACCTCGTTTGATGCATCATAATAATTCATGAAGTGAGAGATCAAGGTAAAAATATCCGAAGAAATTAATATCCATTTATTTTATTAACAGAAGAAAATTATTAGCAACATCATCGATTGGGTCGAAATTATGAAAATTTAGACAACTCTAAAGTACAATTTATTAGCGTAATTTCATCTTTGACTGTCAAATAATCTGATCAGATTTAATTGGTGACAATTGTATTTTAAGATTTTTATTAATGCCATGTCCCTTCAAGACATAGGCGACCATGGCTCTCCACAGATTCCTCTTCTTTATTATCTATGAATTGCTATGGGAAAAGTAAAGTGTTTCCAGTTACTTTCTCCACAATTTGGAATTTAGTGTTTTACCTTTTCTTAAACTGGTTGCCACCCAATGCTAGATAGCCAAGTACTCTGTTGTTTAATTCATACCTGAGTGAGCAGAGATAGTTTCATGGCTTTTTCAAGGGAATTTACCTAAGAGTGAATGCAAAAAACTTGCACTGAATTTGAATTTGGCTCTCGACTTCATTTTTCGTGTCGATATCCATTTTTTTAACAGATACACGAACATGAAAGGAAACTGAATAAAAAGAAACCCTCTAATTTAGATTTTTAGTTGTAGCGGAAATTTTCCGGACGAGGCCTAAAAATAACAGAACTAGTTCAGTATACGTGTTTCGATACTTAAAGTTTAAAATGAATTTTTTAAAATGAAAAAAGCATTTTTGAAGATTTCATTTTAGCTTTAATGGAAAGCTAAATGATTAGATTTACTATTTCCATTAAGTAAAATATTCTGCTGTATTTCAAATAGAAATTATATAGATTGAAATCTCAACTATTTCGACGATTTCAGAAAATCTTCCTACAAGCGACCATTTTCTAAATTTTAAGAAATTTATAAACAAAACAAAATAACGGTTTTAAAAATCTTCCAAAAATAAAAAAAATATATTTATGACACGTTATTTGAATAAAATGAGCAAATTTAAAGTTAAATTATTCTGATTTGGAATAAACATCACTTACAGCATAAAAAGTAATATACAAGCATTTCTTAACGACGTATCCTGTTTTTCTTTTATCTTTATTGACGTATCGATAAGTTCCGAGATGATGGCAGCTAGTATGGATGACCAGATTTTATATAAATTTACGAAATCCAAGTGAACACATTTTTTCCTTTGTTTTTAATTACCTAGTAATTTTTACAAATTAATATATTTTCAGCAATTATTTAGTATTTTATTGACTTTTAATTACGTTTGAAGATGTTTTATGAAATTTGCGTTTCGTCTGTAGGTTCTTAAGTTTACTAACTTAAACAAAAAATTACTTAACTGAAGTATGACCCAAAGTAAAATAAATACATAAAATAAAAATATTTAGTGAAATAGTAATTAAAAAAAAGTAAAACCTATTTGGAAATTTTGAAGCTATGATTTGCAAAGACGTTAACGATGAAACAGAACTGAATAATTAAATTGAAAGAATTGCAGAGCGCCAGACGACTCTTAAATCACGTGACCTTTTAAAAGATAATATCATTTATGGATTACCATAGTTAGAAATTGGTAATGTTTATACACTAAATATTTTTTTAAAAATATTGGGTAGAATCGACTGCTATGAGCTTTTCATTTTTTGATTCGTAAATTTATTTTTCACTTAACAATATAACCTAACCGCCACCTTGAAGTAATGCAGAATTTTAAACGATTTTTTAAAATTATAAATTATTTAATTGAAACTTTAAAAAAATGAAAACAATTCTTTTAAAACTTAATTATTGATCGAAAAAATTTCCTTCTTAAGACAATAGTGTCAATAATAAATTCTATTTATCAAAGCAATTAAAAGTTTTTTTTAAAAATAAATAATGTTGTAGTTTTATTGCATTTTTTATTTTGCAATTCGGAGCAGATTTTCAGTGAATGGGGTTACTGTTTTTACAAAAGAAAATTAATGATTTACATTCTCCAAGGAGTCCTGCTTTTAACTAAAAAAAAAAAAATCACCGCGTTAAAAATTGAATTTCTCGAAATTTCATGAAATTAAGTAAGTGGGTGGTAACATATGTAAAAAAAAAAAAATTAACAAGATTTTCGAATAAAATAATTTTCAAAAATAATTTCATCCATTTCTGAATATGTCCTGAAAGTTTCATTAAAAACACACAATTATTGCAAGAATTTCCAAATCAATGTTTTTCACCGGAAAAAAGCGCAAAAGAAAAAGTAATCGTTATTATTACGTCGTCCGCTGACGTAAACGAAACGAAATTTTTAACCGAAATTTCCAAATCAATGTTTTTCACCGGAAAAAAGCGCAAAAGAAAAAGTAATCGTTATTATTACGTCGTCCGCTGACGTAAACGAAACGAAATTTTTAACCGAAATTTCGAAATGCCACAAAGAATTAAAAAATTACAAAAAATAAATTACTTTTTCATCATGCTATGCTGTTGTTTTCCTCGAAAATGCGGAGGTACTTATAATGGGATGACTTAGTTGTGGCACAAGGCCGAGAGAATGGAGCTCCCAGTGAAGATCGAACTCACTTCTCAGTCGCAATTAAACTTGTGAGACAAGCTTGTTAACCGTTATACAACGTCGAAGTGACCTGTTTAATATATAATATCTTATATACATTATTTAAATTAACACTGTACATCACATTAATGAGGGGATATTAAAAAATTTCTTGGTTAGACCAAAAATCCTTTCAAAAAACATATTTTTTCATTTGGTCTGATTTTAGGAACTTTTCAGTTCACCCTCATATTTTGGCATATTATTATTATTATTATTATTATGAAATTACGATTATTATTATTATTATTAGTAGTAGTAGTAGTAGTAGTAGTAGCAGTAGTATGTGTCAAATATGTCACAAAGGATTGTTGGAACTGCTTGGTAACCTTGACATATTTGGGAAGCAAACCGCCTTCGTACAAAGAGAAAATGAATTCAATAGATATACTAAAATAAAAAAGATGGAAGACAAGACATGTCTTGTCACTGGACTTCTTTCTTTTTATGTGCCCTGTCCTTTCAGGACGTAAGCGATCATGGCTCTCCTCCTCTCCCTCTATCCCATGCAGCTCTCAACAAGTTCCTTCCCTCTGTTTCCTCCGTCGACTTACACTACCTATACAATGAGGCGATTCTGAGAGAATTAGAAATCCTACCGGGATTCATTATTGGCGGTCATAATCTTAAAACCATAAGATATGGAGACAAAAACAGAGTTGACAGCGCATAATGGAAAGAAAACAACAAGAACTCTTACAAAAGGCATTGAAGGAAAAAGTGAGAAGAAAGAACTAAACATCAATTGCATGAAAATGAAAATAAATGGTTGTTAGCCAAATGAATAACATGTAAATTACAAAATATGTACACCAAAATCAAACAAGTACATAATCTGGGAAGTGTATAAATATAGAAAAATACTGATATAGATAGATAGATAGATAGATAGATAGATAGATAGATAGATAGATAGATAGATAGATAGATGTGGATATGATGACACTGAAATTCGAAGCCCTATTGGGATAGCCAAGGATACATTCCAATATCTCAACAAAATAGGAAACAGACAATTTTCGTTAGAAACAAAGAAAATAATACTGAACTGTTATGTAATATCAGTCTTCCTTTATGGCAATGAATGCTGGACAATTTCACCAGAGAAGAAAAAGAAATTTGAGGCGCCAATAGTTTGGTTCTACATGCAACGAACGTGTGAGCAACGAGGAATTTTAATGAAAATAGAAACAAGTAGGAAATTTATACTTAACGTTACGAAATGTAAGTTGAAATTTCTGGGGCACATAATAAGGAAAGATGGCTTGGAGAATCTGATACACACGAGACAGATTGAAGGTAAGAGGGACAAAGGAAAACAACGCATGACATACGGAGTGAACTTGACTAAATGGATGGCGGAACTGGGTTTAAGTTAACTAGCAAATATACAAAATTTATTAAAAGGTACAGAGGACAGGAAGTTGTGGAGAGCCATGATCGCCTACTTCCTGAAGGGACACGGCACATAGAAGAAATGTCAAAGCGTATTCGTTTTGCTCTTTTGATTCTGAGTTATCGCTTTCTTCAGAGATCCGTAAATTTGGTGGCGAATTTCAAGCGAAAATTGCAAACGCAATGTCTATCAAATTTGTGATTTTGGTTGGGATTTACATTTCCACTGGTAGTTTGAAGAAAGGGAGAGGGAAAGAGAAAGAGAGAGAGAGAGAAGGACAGAGTGAGAGAATAAGAAGTGGGGAGAGAGAGAGAGAGAGAGAGAGAGAGAGAGAGAGAGAGAGAGAGACCACACTGCAGTTCGTTTGTTTAACAGACAGTCTGCCATGATAGCAGTTATTATAAATCTTTTTGGGAGTAACCTAAAACGTAATTTAGAGGCCAGCACCTTTATACAGTGGGGTTCAAGGTTTAAAAACAAGAGAAGATTTATGTTTTGGGTTCTTGATAAGAAAACACGGGTCTCTCTCTCTCTCTCGCGCGCGCCTTCTCTTTATCTCTTCTCTGTGTGTGTGTGTGTGTGTGTGTGTGTGTGTGTGTGTGTGTGTGTGTGTGTGTACACTCGTACCAAACGTTCAGGCGCGGATAAAACGTATATGCAAACAAGCAAGTGCACAAATGATTTAACTCATTCTGTCAGATAGATATGAATATACTGAGATAGATAGATAGATAGATAGATAGATAGATAGATAGATAGATAGATAGATATGAATAGAATCATCTAAAAGTGGCTGGCAAGGGTGCGTAGAGATTGAACAGATTTTAGAATTATATATTTACGTCGTTGCCTCTGCATATGCTTGTGCACCCAAAACAGAATTGAACGCTTACTACTAAGGCTTAAAGATAGAAACATATTTAGTCAGCTCTAAAAAGATAAAAAAAAGCATCAATTTTGTGACTGGCCATTCTCATTATTGATAATGATGATTCTGTTAATAATTTTATTCTTATTCGAATGATATTTTATGTCATTGATAAAAATTCGACATTCCCTTCTCGACAACTTCACAACTTTGAATCGGTGAGAAAATTTGTTTTAATGTTTAAAGAGGGGGAAAAGGCCAAGACTCAATCTGACATGGCGACTTCAACTGGGACTGAAGAATCGTTTACACTGACCAAAATAAAAAGAAAAGTAAAAGAAAAACGAAAATTTTCGTCTGTGTAAATATTTGAAGAATGTCAAAAAGAAAACTATCTACTTCCTCGTTTTGCCTATGACGTCAGTTCTGTATTAAAAAAAATATATACGGTGTATTTTTTGGTTTGACCAAAGAGCAAAGCAATCGAAAGAATGTGGTCTGATATTTTGTTGTGTGTTGAACTGGATAAGTTTGTAATCAGGAAAAATAAATAAACTAACAAAATCTGAACGCACTCCCCCCCCCCAAAAAAAACAACAAATCTTACTCATAATTATAAATTTATCAGTGGTTATGAATGAGCGTCACTTGATCGGAAGAACATCGTACCTTAAATACTAACCAGAAAGTCAGTGTTTAATTGTACAAACTTGTGAGATCATTAGAATGTTTTAAACAGGGAGGCCTCGGTTGCCATTTTAAATAAATTAAGAAATCCAAGTGGAAGACGAAATTTACCAAGAGAAAGAAAAAAAGAAAGAAAGACATGTGACAAGCAAGACAGAAATTCGACAAAGAAAGAACGAAATTCAAAGAAAAATAAATGAATCCATGAAAGAAATCCAACAAAGAAAGAAATCCGAAAAAGAAAGAAATGCAAGGAAAAAATAAAAGTAAGAAAGAAAAAATAAAAGAATGAAATATGACAAACAAGAACGGAATACAAAAAATAAAGAAAGAAATTTGTGGAAAAATAAATAAACCCATGAAAGAAAGAAAGAAAGAAAGAAAGAAAGAAAGAAAGAAAGAAAGAAAGAAAGAAGGAAATCTGGTAAACAAGAACGGAATCCAAGAAAGAAAGAAAGAAACAAAACAAACAAACAAAAGAAAGTAATCCTAAGCAAAATAAAGAAATCCATGAAAGAATCAATGAAAGAAAGAAAGAAAGATAAAGCGAAAGAAAGAAAGAAAGAAAGAAAGAAAAAAGAAAGAAAAAAAGAAAATCTGACAAACAAGAAAGAAAAACCCAAAAGAAAGTAATCCTAAGAAAAATAAATAAATCCATGAAAGAAAGAAAGAAAGAAAGAAAGAAAGAAAGAAAGAAAGAAAGAAAAAGTCTGGCAAACAAGAAAGAAACTTCAAAAAGAAAGAAATCCTTGGAAAAATAAATAAATCTATGAAAGAAAGAAATATGAGAAAGTAGAAATAGACCCAAGGAAAATAAGAAAGAAAAAGAAATCCTATAAAGAAATAAAGAAGAAATAAATCCAAAAAAGAAAGAAAAGGAAATGGAACTGAAAAGGAATTATTCTAACATTGGCATTACTTTCGTTCAATTAAATGTGCTTAATAGAAACAGAATGTTGCTCGTAGATTGGTGTAAAATAATCATATTTCGGACTTTATAACGAGAAAGGTTAATTAAATTAGCCTATATCTTCTAGATATTTTCAAAAGTATATTCCCTTTTATAGACGTGAGAATTGGAAGCAGCGGTCCATGTTCATATTTTAGGCGAGTCTTTTTTATTTTCAAACAAATGGTCTTCGAAAAGACAAAATTCCATCTTTTCTATTCACAACTATGGAGAGTCGAAGGCTAAAGAAAGTTCAGCTAAACTAAACCCTCTTAGCCTTGATTGGCAACTAGTCTAAGAGAAGAACTTCTATAAATGGAGAAGGCAATAGGGGAAATACTCTCCTCTCTTTCCCCAAAAATCATGGTAATTCACAGATTAGAAAGAAAAGGAATCTGTCGAGAGTTGTGTCTGCCTACAAAAGGACATGGAATTAAAAAAAAAATTTAAATATAAAAAAATATTTACAAATAACTTTTATAAGTGATTAACATTTAGACGATACTAGTAATGGTTATGGTAATATTTGTTGTTTCCTTATATTTGGTATCAACTATAGGTTACTGAAGTACCGTTAAATAAAATATAGGTTTATAAAAAAATCCGTGTTAATTGTAGGTTTCTACGTATAATCCATTAGTTAAAATTGGATTACTCTCTAAATTGGTTAAAATTGGATTACTTCCTACGTACAATCCATTAGTTAAAATTGGATTACTTTCTAAATTAGTTAAAATTGGATTACTTCCTACGTATAATACATTAGTTAAAACTGGATTACTTTCTGCGTATAATCCATTAGTTAAAATTGGATTACTTTTTTAATTTAAGAAAGAAAGAAAGAAAAAAAAAGAAAGAAAGAAAAAGAAAGAAAGAAAGAAAGAAAGAAAGAAATAACGAAAGAAAGAAATCTGACAAACAAGAACGGAATCCGAAAAATAAAGAAAGAAATTCGTAGAAAAATAAATAAATCCATGAAAGAAAGAAAGAAAGAAAGAAAGAAAATCTGACAAACAAGAAAATTCAAAAAGAAAGAAATCCTAGGAAAAAATAAATAAATCCATGAAAGAAAGAAAGAACGAAAGAAGAAAATCTGAAAAACAAGAACAGAATCCGAAAAATAAAGAAATTCGTGGAAAAATAAATAAATCTATGAAAGAAAGAAAGAAAGAAAGAAAGAAAGAAAGAAAGAAAGAAAGAAGGTCAGTTATTTGCACTCTTTACAGCTATATAACTTGCTATTTCCCCTTGGCACTCCTACTGTCAATATATCTGGTGAGTATTAAATTCTCCAAGCCTTCTTTCCTCATTATGTTCCCCAATGATTTCAACTGTCCCTTTCTGATTTTAAGTACAAGTATTTCTACTCACTATTTTCTTTAAGTAGTGAAACTGTATGAGTCTTAAAGATTTTACGAATAGTTATAGATCCAAGGAAGTATTGTCTCGACAAAACTCTGATTTGTTTTCAGCAAGAATACTGAAAAGAGTTGTTGTCACTTGTTTTTCAGAAAACTGAGTGCAGATAACTTTGGGCGGGAAAATACAAGCACAATGGCTTCTACTACTACTACAACTACTACGGCTACTACTACTACTACTACTACTACTTCTACGGCTACTGCTTCTGCTATTGCAGAAAATGAAAATAGAATGAAATAAAAAATATGTGGTAAAAAAGTTTCGGAAGCATATAGATAACTTTTTAATCATTTCACCCCAAGCAAGGCAATGAAACACTAAGACACAGGAGATTACTGAGTGCTAGAGAATGTGAGAAAACGGAATGTGAAAGAATAAGAAAAAGAAAAACATTAGTAAGGAGCGAGAACAATAAAAGAAGAGGAATCAAGATGGCAGTAGATAACGATTGGCATTGTATTTAAAGTTTTGGAGATCAAAATTGGCTGGAAATCAAAAAAAAAAAACAAAACAAAAAAAACAAAGTGAGTTCTCCAAGCGAGAAGTGTGAGAAAATATCTGTGTGGTTACATCTAGCCATTTTCAACCTTACTGCTAATCTAGTACTGTATTTAAATTCATAAAGACCGTGGATAATCGAGGAAAATAATATTTATTTTGTTATAATACAAAAATGTGGCACAAGGCCAAAAGGAGGAATAGGAAAAGGCTGGTCTTTAATCCGCCTTATCTTAAATTTAGCTAGACACGATTACTGACCCAAACATACCACAGTATTCCTTACACCAAAACACTACATTCTTACAGTTCTTACTACAGTCACCATAATACCTCAGAGTCTCTAGGTAGTCCTAACTGGTCCCCATATGGACAATTTGTCTGTGGGGGTGGGGAATGAAAATAACAACATTTAAAAATGAAACCCCAATGAGTATTCACTGTAAACCCAAACAATTATCATGAAAGTATTTATAGAAAAGGTACAGGGAAGCTACATTATGGCGGTGAGAAAATGATTGACGTCAAGATGCCAGATAAGGACCAATAACATTGCAGATTATTCTTTGGATTTTATCAAGAATCTCTAAATGTCTAACAAGAGCACCAGATCATATGTGACAGCAATATTCAGAGCACAGACGAATGGTGGACTTATAATTTCTGGGAAGAAAAAATGTCTACCACGGCACAGTGAATCAACTTTCCTAGCAGCTAACCTAGAAATTGATTCAATATAATCTTTTCACTTCTGCAATAAATAAATAAAAATGTGAATAAGGAGAAAAATCAAGAAGAAAGAAAAATAATAATACAAAGTGTAAAAGAAATTATATTTAAAACATTATCACCCGGGCCGTTACGTATATTTGTTTATTAAATAAATCAGATACAATCACGACGTATGAAGTAAAAGAGCGCCCAGTCAAAATGGCGGTCACTGATCTTTATAGACAATGGATCCGTTTAAGAAAGAATCAGGTTCTGAAGCTTATCTGTACCATAATGGCGCCTTTAGGTCCCACAGCATCTTTATTCTTAGACTAATCAGACGTGTACATGACCTGATGTCTGCCTGGTCTATGTAAAATTACAATCCACTAACCCCTAACCTTGTCTTTTTGAAGAAATCAGTAGTTCCACCCACGCTATTTGGAATGTTTTCCCTGTATTATCTATGTTTTATTTTATTTATTGTTTGTGATAGAGGGTCGTTTCAGCCTGCTTTGTTTATCCAGTCAGGCTATGCCTAGGCCAGATCATAGCAAAGAGGCGAGGGTTGAGTCTTGTCCAGGTCCCAAGTTGTCAGGTCAATGTTTGGCGTGTGGAGTTGAAAATAGAAACACTGAAGCATTTATAGTGCACTCTGACACATAATCGTTTACAGAATTTTTATCGTCAGCGCACTTGATAATCATTTTTGGAATACTTTCCCTCTTACTCTTGTTCTTTCAGCTTTTCTATATGTATTCATGTGCCTTGAAAGAGAGAGATAGAAAGAGAAAGAGAGAGATAGTGTGAAAGAGAGAAATGCAGAGAGAGAGAGAGACGGGATGGGGAATGAATAGATAGACAGGACAAATGATAGTAGTTAGTAGAACGATAACATGGGCTGTGAAGAAACATTTATGTGCGTTTATATACATTTCTAGAAACATAGATAGATAGATAGATAGATAGATAGATAGATAGATAGTGATATAATGGAATATGCATACACCTGTGTTCCTCCTCACTGGAATATGATTGGCTGGTGTCCGTCAAAAATACCGACGTACGTGTAGGTACGACAGAGTAAAGAGCTTTAGTCTGAGAGCTAAGTCTATAACGACGCCCATTGGACTATGCCATTGATCTACACTTCTTACCTGCGACTACGACGCGTCCCAGTCGATTACTGCTACCGTATTCTACTTGGTTATAGTAGCCAAAACCACTTAGCTACTTCGTTCAAATATATCCCTTCCCGGGACATATCATGATAGATAGATAGATAGATAGATAGATAGATAGATAGATAGATAGCCAAGTACTATAGCGAAGAGCTCATTCGAACAATTACCATGAAAGATAGACAGATAGACAGATGCGTAGATAGATAGATAGATAGAAAGAAAGAAAGAAAGAAAGAAAGAAAGAAAGAAAGAAAGAAAGAAATCATTACAGGTTGCTATGTTTCATAAACTCGCTAGCAGGGTGCGACAAAATAAAAAGTAGGGAGCTAAATCAGGTGTGAGCGACGTAGGATATTACGTTTTAAGTATACCTGAATGTAAACTTTTTTTATCTGATTCTCTCATAAAATGAACGGACAAGATCTCCAAATAGATATACGAACGTGCAAACGAGGTCTAAAAAATACGTGTGTATATGTGTGTGTGTATACAATTATAGTTTCTAGTTTTTATTTCAGTTTATATTGTCAACTTATATCTGTTTAATCTTCGTACGAATGTGAAGGACTTGTGAGCTATGTTGACTAAGACATATCCTAGCATCCGTTTTTAAAATGACCTTTACTTTACATTTAACATATTTTTTTTCAATCAATTCATCCCAAGCAAGACGATAATCTCAATAAGACGCAAACGAGCTACTATGAGTGAAAGTGAATAAGAAGACTTTAGACGGGATCGAAAATCTAATCCTAACAGGAAACGAGGGATAAACCTTTACTACTGTTCAAAAAACCTGGGAGGAGTGTGAAAACTGGAATTAGAATTTGGATCTTTGATTTCTCATTCCAAGCCGTTATCCATCACATCACCCGTACATCGAAGCTTATAGCACACATGGCATTCTCAAATGATCACCCATCTAGGTACTGTCCAGCCTCAACGTTGCTTAACTTCTGTGATCGGAAGAGAACTGGTGTTGGAACGTGATATGACCGTAAGATTATTACCATGATTTCGGCATAAATATCCGAACCTCTCTATTAATACGTAGCTCCTTTAGAATTGATCACTGCTTATGTACGTCTTTTATCGCCTTTCATGAGGCTTATGCATTTCTCGTCTGAGATTTTATACAATTCTTCTATGTCGACTGCTTACAAACGGTTCAAATTTGATGTCTTCTGTTTACGCACAGCAATTTCTGGTTCTTGCCATAAATATCCGATTGGCTTTAGTCCAGGCGATTGAGAAAACCATTACAATACCCTTACCTTATTGTTAAACATTTCTGTGATGGTTACAAAGTATGTTTAGGGCTGTTTTCTTGTATGAAGATGAATCAACCATTGACATGGATAGCAGATGGTTAAAGACTTTTCGAAGGAATTGACTGATCTTTTAACAAACTGGTTGGTTTCCCAGTTCGTGCTGTGTTAATATAAATGCATAAAACTATGTGTGGACCTACATTATTCATTGTTTGTACGGTATTTTATATTACACCAAGCATAGTGATTTTTTTTTGTTACACATTCTTACTTACAATTCTTACTACAGACACCATAATACCTCATAGTCTCTAATTAGTCATAATTGGTCCCCATACGTATAATTTGTCTGTGGAGGGCGAGAAATAAAAATAACAACACTTAAAAAGGAAACCCTAATGAATATTTACAGCGAATCTATGTATTCACTGGAAACACGAACAATTATCATGAAAGAATATTCGCCTTCAGATGTTCGTCGAAATTGTATTATTATTATTATTATTATTATTATTATTATTATTATTATTATTTCCTTGGTTTTCTGTTGAATACAAATTACGTTCCGGGTCCCAAGCAAAGACCTAAAGTCAGAAATGACTTCATGACATTTTCCAATGATCATTTGTTGCAAAAAATAAAATAAAATCACAAACATTTTACATAGATAAAGCTCTTCCTAATGTGTGAGCTGTACTTGTGAGTTCAATTTTTTTGTATATCATTAAGGCATGAACTATCAGGTATCACTTCAATCAGTGTATTGGAACCGTTTCCAATCAATCCGAGGGCTCCAACTACAAATGGAATTCTTGAGATCCTTATGTGCCACATTTATTTTTTAGATTTCCACTTCAGCATCCTTGTATTTTGATAGTTTTTTGAAGATCTTCAAGGTTATACTACAATCCACAGGGATTTCTATGCCAATAAGATTAGCACATTCTGTTCTTGTGGTCTTTGATCACGATATTTGGACGTTAAGATTTGATTGTTCTGTCTGTGTTGTGTATTGAAAAGTCCCATAAAATTGTTAAAGATCCTATCTCTGTAACTCGGTCTGGGTGATGTTCATACCAGTTACTTGCAGTTTACTTCCTGTAAAAGGTGCATATTTTCCAGTGCAGATATTGGCTCACTCTATCAGTTTTATATTCAGTTGATGCCAACACCGTGCGACCTGATACAAGATGGTCAATTGCTTGTCGATATTTATCACAGAATCTGCATTTGTGGTCAACACAATTTTTTAGTATGCGTGCTTGGTAATTTCTAGTTAATTTTCTGATCCTGTGAAGCAAGATGAAAACATTCAGTTTCGGCTTTTAACCCTGCACTACGTAACAACTGATGAGTCCGGCTTTGTCTACATCAGCTTGTTTGGTAATTTATTAAAGATTTAATTAGTGAATATTTTTACTTTAATAAAAAAATAAATTTCTTTACGATTTACTTTGTCACAAATAATATTTTTTTTTAATAATTTAAAAAATATTCAGTAATTAAGGTTTTAATCCTTAATAAATTAATTTTATTCGGTTATGTAAAAACGTTATGTTTTTCTGGTACTGAGTTGTCTCTTTCTTGAATTGTGCCAGCGCTCTGTCAGTGTTTTTGAGTCGGCGGTGTTGAGTCGTCGATGTTAAGTTGTCCCTTCCGGCATTGCATTTGCGTTTGCTTTCTTTTTTAGGTTCTTTGCCGCTGTTGTAGGCGTATTATGATTTATCTGCACCTCTTCGCCCACTTGAAATTCTCTTTTGAATTTGTTGGCTTTCTTTATTACTGAATACAGTTTCTTATTTCTTTCATGTTCTTTGACACAGATCATCATACAGTCTTCTGTAGTTTCCAGGCATCTTTGAAGAATGATTGTTGTGGTTTTGTAAGAAAGTTGTAACTATTATTATTATTATTATTATTATTATTATTATTATTATTATTATTTCTGGTGCGTACTCATTCCTAAGATCGGGAGATGGCATCATGACATTTTCCACTGAGTATTTTTTAAGAAAAACAAAAACAAAAAACAACAAAAGATCACACATGTTTTGCATATATAAAGCCCTCCGTTGGGTATAGGCTGTACTTGTGAGTACAATATTATCGGAAACTTTTCCAATCAATCCTAGGTCTCCAACTACAACTGAAATTGTAAATGTCGTTATGTGCAACATTTTTTTTCATTATTGTTTTTTTTTTTATATATTTTATTTCCTTTGATTTCTGGTGTGTACACATTTCTTTCCGGATTCCTCCCAGAGACCTAAGGTCAAAAACGGCATCATGACATTTTCCACTGACCAATTAAAAAAAACAACATATTTTACATAGATAAAGCCCTTCATAAGGTTTAGAGTGTACTCGTGAGAACAATTTTTTGTATTCCTTTAAGGCACAGGCTTCCATGAATCACTTCAATGAGTTTATTGGAATCTTTTCCAGCCAGTCCGAGGGCTCCAACTACAACAGGGATTATTGATGTTCCCATGTGCCACATTTCTGAGATTTCGATTTCATGGTCCTTGTATTTTGATAGCTTTTTGTAGATCTTCAAAGATATATTGCAGTCTTCAGGGACTGCCATATCAATAAGGAGGCACTTTTTTGTTTGCAGTCTCTAATATCAATGTCTAGGCGTTTGGCTTTGATTGTTCTGTCAGTGTGTATTGTGTAGTCCCATAAAAATGTAACAGGTCTTATCTCCGTAAGCGGGTCTGGGTGGTGTTCATACCAATTTCTTTCAGTTTCCTTCCCGTAGAAGTTGCAGATTTTCCAGTGCAGATATTGGCCCACTCTGTCGTGCCGGGTTTTATATTCAGTGGGTGCCAATATCTGGCAAAATGATACAAGATGATCAATTGTTTCTGGATATTTATCACAGAATCTGCATGTTGGGGTAACACAATATTTTAGTATGTGTGCTTGATAATTTCTAGTTAACAAGTATTGCTTCTGTGCAGCAAGGATAAAACCTTCAGTTTCAGCTTTCAACCCTGCACTACGTAGCCACTGATGGGTACGGGGTTTGTCTACATCAGCTTGTTTGGTACGGGCAGAGTATTGGCCATGAAGCGGTTTATCTTACCATGGTTTCTGCATCTGGTCGGTTGAATTTGTCTTTGCTTTCTTTTTTAAGTATTTTGCAGCTTCAGTCAGTGCATTGTGCTTTACTTGTATTTCTGCATCCATTTGAAACTCTATTTTGAACTTGTTGGTTTCTTTTATTACAGAATAATGAAGTTTACTACTTTCATGTTCTTTGACACATTATCATCCAGTCTTCTGTGGTTTCTATCTATCTTTGAAGGCCAATTGCTGTAGTTTTGTAGGGCAGATCTAGTTAAACTAATCCTCTGCCTCCTTCGGATCTGCGCACATACAAGCGATCAAACATCAGCTTTGGGCTGGTGCATGTGGTAGCAAGTGAGAAGTTTGGGCGTCCATTCCCTTATGGTCCAGTTAAGGATGTTAAAACTGTATTGCACCACAGGGACATCCAAGATGTTTATGGCTGATATTCTGTTTTTTAAATTCAGCTCGGTATTTACGCACACGTTTGTAGTACTCCTTTCATACCTTCTACTTAATTTGGGTATACTGTATACCTACTTCTTTGCTAATTCCTAGGTAATTATAGACTTCATCTTGTTCCAGTTCCCTAATCTTTGTGACAAAATCTAAATCTATTGAGAGTGTTTCTGTAATTTTCCCTCTCTTGAATGTTACTTTTGCACATTTATCTAATCTAAAGTCCATACCTATGTCATCACTGAAGTATTTTACAATATTGAGGAGGCCTTTCAACTCAATGTCGTCTTTAGCAAAGAGTTTGAGATCATTCATGTAGAGTAGGTGATTGAATATTTTCTTATTTATTTTGTAACCATAGCTACTGTTGTTCAGTTCATGTGTAAGAGGGATTAAGGATAAACAAAACAGAAGGGGTAACAGAGAGTCTCCTTGAAAGATTCCATGTCGGATATTCAGACGGTTGGAGATGGCAGTACCCCTGGTGTGATTTAGGTATAGTGTGGTGTTCCACATTCCCATGCTGTGCTTAAAGAAAAATTACTACTACGGCGAAGACTTTGTGCATTTCCAAAGTCATAAGGATCAAAGAGTGTGGCATATTATCAAAGGCTTTACGATAATCTACGCTGCGCTAAGATTTCTCCATCGTCTCCTGCAATTTTCCAGGATCATTTTATTTATCAACAGTTGATCTTTGCAACCATATGAATCTCTCCTGCTTCCCTTCTGTTCCAATGGAAGAATGTTATTTGCTTCGAAGAAAGAGTAAGTTCGGTTCGTCAGGACAGACGTGATCAACTTATACTTGGTGGACAGACATGTTATTGGCCTATAATTTTTCGGATCTTCTGTTTCACCCGTTTTTGGCATGAGATATCTAATAACTTTATTATTATTATTATTATTATTATTATTTCCCAAACAATTTACTGACAATATTTTTAATAAGGAATGCTGAAATTTCAGTTTCTTCTAATCTGAAATTCGCTTGCTTATATAAGGATATTCTGAAAAGATTAACAACATTGGTTGGTTAATATCAATGTTATTTTGAAAACATTGGCTCGTATAATAAATTCTGACATAGCGTTTGGTGCCAATTTCTAGATTCGTATTCGGCTTGGAAAACTGGTAAAGGAAACTTTATTTTATCTCGACTCTAAAACCAACTTCTAGCGGCTGGGCCAAATTTCCAT